GTAATCTATTAACTGGTGAATTCTTACTGTATATTTTTTCTCTTGAAATTCTGTATTACTTGTAGCCTTTTAATGTTTTGTTTTCTTTTGTTTTACTCTTTAAATAAAAAAAATCATACCACAGCAAAAAAAAATGTCCATAATATCTCTGAAGACGAGCATACATTAAGCTTTGGTGAGGATAGTAAATGCAGATCAGACTTCATGCTTCCTTCTAGTTATTATAATTTTCTGGCTGCAACTAGTGCATCTCATACAACTACTCTCAGAAACAGGCACGTAAGTCATTTAGCAGGGAAAATGAGGGATAAAAGACAATGTAAAACCACAAAAGAGTGATTCAAATACAATCATATTGTCATCTGGCTAGGTCTGAGAAGATCTCTGGGGCTGAAGAAAGGAACTTAAATCACACTTTTGTAGAACAGGTTTTCAGGATTTCTGACTTCCACTGCAGACAAAAATCTTCAGAATATATCAGTAAGAGGCACAAGAAGATTTATTGGGCAGTGATTTTAGGACACACTCAAGAATGGAGTGCAGATGCTCCAAAAAGTGAGACACAGTGTAGTTTGTAACTGGGAAATTTTGTGTTGTGGAAATACGTAGAATGTGATAATTTATAGTCTTACTTTTGTCTAGTGGTTGGAAGAGGATGGCCTGTCCAAAGTAAGATAATGATCCATTTATAGGTGAAACCCTAATTTGTAGGTGAAAAAGATGATCTATTCGCAAGTGAAAGAAGATGCCTTTAATAAAAGAGGAGCCCTTGCAAGTAAAAAGTGAATATCTTAATCCATTTATGGCTGAAAAAGAATTGTTCAGATTTACTGTGTTTTGGCAAGAGAGAAAGAGAGAGACAGAGAGAGAGAGAGAGACAGAGAGAGAGACAGAGATGGAGACAGAGACAGAGACAAAGAGAGGAAACTGAAACAAACAAAAGCTAAGCTTGTGTGCTAAAGCTGTAGTTTTCACTTTAAAAATTGTAATTTTTCTTGTGTCTTTTTTATCTTGTTCTTACTTTTTCATTCTACCTCTCTATCAATACCTGGTTACTGGGCTACTCTGCAGGAGTACTATGGGTCATTCTGGAAGTCTAGTGTGACTCTAAGGCTAGATATTTCAGGTAGAAAGGCAATTCTATTATACACAAGAAGCATGCACAAGCAATTAGGATAGGATAAAGTACAACATTGTTTGTAGTTTTTATTGACATGAATATAAAGTGATTTAGCCATTTCCTGGGATTGAACTTGGATTGCACTGGAGGGTTATCGCAAGGGGAATTACTCTATCACAGGTGGTGAAACTAAAATCATTTTGCTAGAAGGCTCTTCCCTGTCCAGGATGTGGGAATAGTAGTGTGTTTCACAGACTCTACATGTTCTGCTGCTTCCATATTTATCTGTTACCAAGATCTGGGGTTTATGAGGTCTCCATCTAGAGATTCTTTCTAGGTTCTTCTTATACTGAACAAATAATTAAAAAATGCAAAAGGTAGTGAAGTTTTACATTTATTAACGGAGGAAAAAGAACATTCTTTGCAGTGTGAAAGAAGGCCAACTAATTAGGAAAAGAAGTGTACTCTGCAAGAGAACAATGGATCACTATGAAAAAGTGAGCACAGTGGTCAAGAACTCAATGACAACTGTCTTTTGCATCTCTCACTGCACAGGCTAACTCCATCAGATCTAGGATGTCTTAGCAAAAACCTGCTTGAATTGTTACTAGAAGAACTGAAGGTAGCAGTTTTTTATTGGTTCCAGATGTAAAAATTGGGGATATAACTTTGAATCTCTGTGATTGACAGGTCACATCCTCTTGCCCAGCCGGATGGTCCACACCTTAATCTCTTGCCTTGTTTCCAAAGGAGAAACTACTTTGGAACTTGTTCTGTGCTTGAGAAATAATGCATTATTGAATCTCTGAAATCTATTCCTTGATCTCAAAAGATCAACTCTATGATACATAATGATTTATGTTCAATGCGCATAGGCTACACCTCTCCAGTATTGAATTTCATGGTCACGTTTAACTTTGAGTTCTGGAGAGAAAATATGAGAGAATTTTTTTTAGCAGCAGTGATTTTAGCAGCAGCAGATATCCTGTTAATGGATAGTGCTGGTGAAAAACTTCTCGTTCTACGTAACGTGATCCTTCCTTCACAGGATATTTGGGACCTTTCTGGTTTCATTACTGAATGTCCTACATCCCAGAAAACTCTTTAGTTCCAGGAAAAACAGTATGGTTGTTTACCCTAGACATAATTTGAAAAGGAATAATGAGGTTTTATAAAGTTGAAAATAATATAAATTCAGAAAGACACTGATTTATTCTATAATTAAATACAGTTAAAGTAAATTTTGTGATTCTGCCTTCCAACTGCCTGGCTTCAAATGTTGCTTCTAAAATGAAATTACAATAAGAGTGAGTGGTAGCATTATAGTTTCATACTTTATGTGTCACAAATGAAGTGAACTTTATGTCCAAATTCTTCTCCCTATTTCTATTTAGTTACCACTCATAAATATAATCCCTTCCTCTTTCTTATACTCTGTGTCCATCTACTGGTTGTCATATTGGAAGTTTTGATCTCAGGATGATGACAACCATGTAGGACATATGGAGTTAGTTCAGACTATGATGTGTTGTACTTGAAGTAGTTAATACTCTTGTTCTTCTTGTTTATACCGTGTTTCTGGAGAAATTGGCCTTCCTCCTACCTAGCATGTCTTTCCCTCTATTTCTTTACTTGTTAAATATTTTTTTGAAATTCTGGAGGGGAAGCCATGGAAAATTTAATTGTAATATTGTAGAGGCGGTGATGTAATTCTACTGGGGTAATTCTCTGGGAGAAGCCTACAGGCCAAAGAGTTGTAAATGATGGATCTGTCATTGAATCACTGTGTACTTTTGGGCAAGTCACTTGGCTTATTGGATCCCGGTCTGCTCATTTGTAAATTGAGGAGTAATACGTTTCTTAACAGCCTAAGAAGGCCCTTAGGCAGAACATATGAAAAAAATGGATTCAGAAAGGATTGTGTTGATGTAGTCAATAGCTGTTTATCAACTTTTTTCTCTCTTTTCCTCTAGTCTGGTTTTCTTCATCAGGAAATGAGTCCATAACAGAAGGCTGCATATGCTTTTCATAATCTTACAAACTCCAATATGACAAGCTGAAGCATTACCTCATTGTGGCCAAGCATATCTGCTTTCTGACTGCAATTACTCAAAAGTAGTTCCACTTCTCCCCCTGTTGGCCTACAATCCCTCATCATATTTCTCCCCACCCCCTCTGTCTCATTTCCCCCATCCACAAACACAAAGCCTCATTTCCAGGGGACCGGCTAAGGGCACTTTCTTCTCAGAGTTTCTGAGAACTCTCAGAGAACTTTTCCAGAGTTTCTCCTGCAATTTATGACCTCTGCACCTTTCTTGCACAAAACACACAGCATAAAACATAAATGTATCAAGAGAGGAATTGCAGTAGAGTGAAAAAAGAATATTATACTAAGAATCAAATAACTGACGTCTGGTTTGGCCGTGTACCTCGCTAGCTGTTTACCCTTGGGTAAAGCACTTCCTCTCCATGTTCCCATTGTAAAGCGATGGGTAGAGTTAGGATTGTAGTAGCAAAGAGTTGGCCTAGTTCTCTGCAGGTTTCTTTTTCAGGTGTTGCTGTTTTCTGTGACTGAGGAAAATCACTTCCTCTATTATTGAGTCAAACTCCATATGTAAAATAAGAAGGTTGGATTAGATGATTCATTAAAGGTTCCTGACAGTGAAAATGGGATGATTCTATGGAAAAGGTTTCATTAAGAAAACATGAATTGTAATGACTACTCTGTGCCAGGCACTATTTGATGGTGCCTGAGAAATGGCTTATGGCTCTAACCCTAAATATAACTGCTGCTTGCTCCTGACAGTGTCCTAAATAGGCAATGTGTTGGCTACATCTAGCTAGTTCCTGTACTCCCTCTGCTTTGAGACTCCTCTGTCCTACCTCCCCTACACATTATTACCTATAATGTTAAGCAGTGGTAATGAATCAGAGAAGTTTCTGCAATATGCTTCACCATCTGCCTGCTGGAGACATTCATGGTGCTGACCTCAGACTACAGTGGGTTTCTAACCATCCTAATAGAGAAATTTGCCAGAAAGCAATGGCAGCTAAGTGGATTGGGGTAGAAGGTGGTTGGTTTTTGATAAAGTACTCTGTGAAAACCATTTGTGAGCTGGGCCAAGAAGATTAAATCTAGAAAGTCTCTCAGAATGTTGAATCTGATATTACTTATTCCAAAAGTAAACTTCAAGGGTCCTTACAGCTATATATTCCTAGATCAAGGCAGTGAGTGCCTGATTCTGATTTATTTCACAGAGAGGACAAACTTGCTTAACTATAGTCACCAAAGGACAAGGAAAGTTTTCTTAGTAGTCAGTTTAGATTTAACTGCTACAATTGGAAGGCTGTCTTCCATTTCAATTATGGGTGAATAAACAGTGCTCTTGTAGCAATAGGTATATGGTACAAATTAGGCACCTTTTATTCCCTTTTTACCTCTCCCTTTCTCCTGTAACTATAAACTGAACCCAGACCCTTCTCACTGAACCCTTTCTAAGATTGTTTTTCACACTGCAACAAGGTCTCACTAATTCACTAAGTTGCCCAAGCTGGAGATCCTAAGTGAAAAGGGCATGTCCAGTAACTCCACAGAGATCTTGCCTGTCTTCTTATCTCTTCTTTGGGGTAAGCCTGTGAATTTTACTTCCTCTTTCACTCTGAAAACAACTTTGTTCCTGACACTCTTGACATATTACTTCCTTCCAGGCCTCTAAACCTTCAAGGTCAGTCACCTGGAATCCCTAGGGACTCTTGCACAGTCTAATTTAATCTTCCCATGGCTCCATGCTATATGTTAAGAGTTATAAACTGGTTGATCAGACTACCTGTGAGTTGGCAGATCAGTCACTAATTCAGTTCTGTGGTTTTTCCACTGCAGCCTAATGACATGGAACTTTGATCCAGGCAGAAGGAAAGGAAACTGAGAAGCAGAATCCTATAGGACACCAATGCTCTTCAAGACAATGATTTTATCCAGAGAAAGGGCAAAGTGGTGTTAAAATGAGCCTCAAATCTGGCCAACTAGATGAAAAATAGACCCTTGGAGCCTACATTGTAACTTTTTGATTTGGTGCTCTGACCCATCTCCCCATCCTTGCAGAGAAACTAGAGACCATGAGGAGCAGCCTGACCTTGGTGGGGACCCTCTGGGCCTTCCTGTCCCTTGTTACTGCTGTGGCCAGTTCTACCAGTTACTTCTTGCCTTATTGGCTCTTTGGATCCCAGCTGGGGAAACCAGTGTCATTCAGCACATTCCGGAGATGCAACTACCCAGTGCGAGGAGAAGGGAACAGTCTGATCATGGTGGAAGAATGTGGTCGTTATTCCAGCTTCACTGCCATCCCAAGCCTGGCCTGGCAGATGTGCACAGTGGTGACAGGTGCTGGCTGTGCACTCCTACTTCTGGTAGCACTGGCTGCTGTCCTAGGCTGCTGCATGGAGGAACTCATCTCCAGAATGATGGGACGTTGCATGGGAGCAGCACAGTTTGTGGGAGGTAAGACCGTGACTCTGAAATTGAGTAGGCTGGGGACTTTGGGGGCAGAGAATGTGGCAAATGAGGCCTTGGGTAGAGATCTACACTGTCACTCTCCTCTATCTTGCCCAGTTCTAAGACTATGAATTTTTGTATTTACCTAGTTTAGCACTATCCAAAGTGCAACCTACATCAGGGTTCATTCATAGAAAAATTGACTGAAAGGTAGAATTGATATCTATTGCTTGGCCTTTATTTTTGTCACCTGCAGGGTGCCCATTTAAACATATTATGCAGAAATTGATGTCAAAGCAGAAGACAATAGAATAGTGGTCACTAGAGGCCGGTGATATATAAGGAGGTTGGATATAAGTAACAAAACACAGATTGGAAGAATAAGTTCTAGTACTCAACAACAGAGTAGGTAGCTAGAGTTAATAAAATTGGTTATATATATTATAAAAAATAGAAGAGTATGAGACCCCAATATAAAGAAATATAAAAGCTTAAGATGATAAAATAGTAAGTACACTGATTTGATGATTGTATACCATATACATGCACTGAATTATCAATATTCTATAAATATGTATAAATATGACTATTTATGAAAAATATAGTGATTATTTAAATAATATGGCTGAGTGTGTTTGGAGTTGTTTCTGACATTGTCTCACCTGTACCAGTGATCCATGGATCTCTTATATTGTTAGCACCATGGTATTTTTATCACTGTAGCTCTGTAGTACAATTTTATTTCAGGAACTATGATGCCCTGGCTTGCCTTTGTTGTCCAGAATTGCTTTTGCTATTCTAGGACTCTTCTGCTTCCAAATACATTTTAAGATTTTTTCCTCTAATTCTGTGAGGTATGCCATTGGTGTTTTGATTAAGAATCCATTAACTCTGTAATGATAATTTGGAAGTATGGCTATTTTCACTACATTGGTTCTTTGTACCTAAGAACAAAGTGTTATCTATCCATTTTCTGATCTCTATTTCAGAGTAATGTAGTTTTCAGTGTAAAGGTTTTTTACTTTGTTAGACTGATTCATAAGTATTTCATTTTTAAAAAATCTCTTGTGATAATTATTGCGATTCTAATTTCTCTCTTAGGGAGTTTGTTGTGTACACGAAGCCCACTGATTTTTGAGTGTTGACTTTGTATCCAGCTACACCACTGAATTTGATTATTAAATTGATAAGTTCTTTGATAGTTTTTGAGATCTGCTATGTAGAGTATCATGTCATCCACAAATAATGATAATTTAATTTCTTCCTTACCATCCTGTTCTTTTTAATTTTTTTCTCTTGTCTAATTACTCTAGTTCATATTTCTAGAACTATATTGAATAAGAGTGATGATAGTGGAACCCTTGTCTTGTTTTGGATTTTAGACTAAAAGCTTATATTTTTGACTATTTAATATAATATTGGTTTGTCCTAGGTGCATATTATAATCTTGAGATAATGACTATCTACTCCAATTTTCTGTAGGATTTTTATCATGAATGGGTGTTAGACTTTGTAAAGTGCTTTTCCCGCATCTATAGAAATGATCATGTGTTTTTTTCCCTTGACTTTGTTAATATAGTGTATTATATTTTTTGATATGTGTATGTTGAACCATTACTGCTTCTCTGAGATGAATCCTACTTGGTCATGTTGTATAATCTTCTTAATTGTTTTGCTGCATTCTGTTTTGCTGTATCTTATTGAGGTTTTCTCAACTATATTCTTTAGAGAGATTAACTTATAGTTTAGGTTTTTTAATTGGATACTTGTCTAGTTTTGATATCAGGGTAATTCTTGCATCCAGCAATGACTTTTAGAGTACTGTTTCCCATTTAATTTCATTAAAGAATTTGAGGAGTAGTGGTATTAGATAGTCTCTGAATTTTTAGTAGAATTTAGCAGTGAATCTGTCAGGACCTGTGCTTTTGTTTGTTGGTAGGTTTTTAGTTACATCTTCATTGACTGATATTGTGTTATTTATAATTTTTATATCTCCTTGATTCAGCTTTTGTAATTCATATGTATCTAGGAATCTGTCCTTTTATATTTTTTTTCTATCTTATTAGGATACAGGTTCTAAAGTTAGTACTAATGATCTGAATTTCTTCAGGATCTGTTGTGATTTTACCCTTTTCATTGCATGAATTTGAGTCTTTTCATTCCTTTTTTGATAATGTTTCTTATCAATTTTGGGTTGCCAGTTTTGTTTAATCTGTGAAAAAAAGCAACTACTTGATATATTGGTTTTTGTATTGTTTTCTTCATCACCATTGCTCTAATCTTTATAATTTCTTCCCTCATTTGAGCTTTGGGTCTGACTTACTCTTTTTTTATCTAAAAGCTTGAGATTCAACATTAGCTTATTTATTTGTGCTCGCTTTGCTTTTGATATGGGACTGCACCGCTATGTACTTTCCTTGTAGGAATGCATTTTTTATCCTATATCTACTGCTATATCGTAATGGTATTGTTGTTTAATAGTAGAGACTGTCTAATTTCTTTTTTAATTACATCTGTCACATACCTACTGGCTATTCAGAAAGGTGTTATTCAATTTCTGTGTGTTTATGAAGTTTTTGTGGTTTCTTTTGTCATTGCTTTCCAATTTCTTCTCACTATGGTCTGATAATATGCATGGAAGAATTTCAGTTCCTCTGCATTTAGTTAAGCATGTTCTCTGAGCTAGTTTATGGTCTGTTTTGGATAATGTCTTGTGTTCAGCTGAGAATACAGTGTATTCTGATGCCATAGGGAGGAACACTGTTTAGTTATGTACTAAGTCCATTAGTTCAAAAATTTGCTTCAGTTATATTTCTTTTGTGAGTTTTTGTCTAGCTGATCTGTCTGTCTGTTACAGTGAGGTACTGAGTTTCCCACTACAATCATATCACTGATTATTTGATTTTTTATATTGTTAATATTTGTTTATATAAACAAGTAAACTGGTATATGGGATATATATATATATACATATATATATATATATATATATATATATATATATATGATTGTCATTTCTTCCTCTTGGATTGTTCCCCTAATTAGGATATAGTATGACTTTCTTCATGTCTTTTATTCAGTCATGAATTGAAACCCACTTTGTCTGCCAATTGAATAGTTATCACTTTTTTTTCATGTTTTTGTCACATGCAGTATTGTTTTTCACTTTTTGATATTCAGTCTGAGAAATTTTCTTTGATTTAAACATGTTTCTTTTATGCAGCATATTGTTGGATCTAGATTCTTGATCAATTTTCCCAGTGTATTTCTTTAAATTGTTTAATTGAGACCATCTCCAATGATGGTTATGACTAATATGGATTGACTTATCCTTGTCATGCTATTTTTGTGTTGTTGGTTCCCTGTTTTTGCCATATTTTTAAGTACATACCTTGCTTGGTGGATTCATTCTGTTAGAGTTCTTGGAGTTGTATTTTTTATTATCTCTTTCTAGAATATCCTTCTGAGTATTTTAGAGTGCTAATTTGCTGGTCATAATTTTTTCAGCTGTTAATTGTCATGGAAGTGTCTTTTTTCTTCAAAAATTTTGAAAGATAGTTTTACAGAGTACCTCAAAGTGAATTGGTGGTTTTCTTTTCATCTTGAAATACTTTATTCCATGCTTTTCTTGACTTATGCATTTGTGTTGAGGAGTCTGCTGTGAATCTGATTGGCTTTTCTTTACAGCTGATTTCTTTATTTTCTCTGACAGCATTTAATATTCTCTTCCTATGGAATTTCTGGAAACTGGACTATTTAATCTTTGAGGTAGATTTTCTTTTGTTTTTTTTTTTTTTAGAAGGGGCCTCACAGATGGATTTACTGCGGAATTCTACAAGAAATATAAAGAAGACTTAAAGCCGACACTCTGAAAACTGTTCAATGAAATCAGAAGGGAAGTAATCCTTCTTAAGTCATTCCTGGAAGCAAATATTATTCTAGTACCAAAATCTGATAAAGACCCAAATAAAAAAGAGAATTATAGGCCAATCTCCCTAATGAACAGAGATGAAAAAAATCTCAATGAAATATTGACAAATAGGATGCAGAAATTCAAGAAGATTATGCACCACGATCAAGTGGGATTCATCCTTGGCATGCAGGGATGGTTCAACATATGTAAATCAATAAATGTAATCCATCATATCAACAGAGCCAAAAGTGAGAATCACATGATCATTTCATAGATGCATTAAAGCTTTTGATAAGGTCCAACACTCATTCATGCTAAGAATCTTACAGAAAATTGGAATACACAGTATTTACCTAAATATGATAAAGGCCAACAGTCAGCATCATATGAAATGGCCAAAACCTGAAGGCCTTTACCTTAAAATCAGGCACAAGATAATGGAAATACTAGCCAGAGCAATTAGACAAGAGAGAGAAATAAAAGGGGTAAAGGCAGGCAAAGAGGAAGTTAAATTTCCATTATCTGCAGATGACATGATACTCTACATAGAAGACCCCCAAAACTCCATTGAAAGACTCCTAGATATAATAAACAAATACAACAATGTAGCTGGATACAAAAATCAATACTCAAAAATCAATAGCATTTATATACACTAACAACAAAATCACTGAGAGCGAAATAAGAGAAGCCACACCCTTCACAGTAGCATCCAAACAAATGAAATACTTAGGAATTAATCTCACAAAAGAAGCAAGATCTATACAGGGGAAATTGCAATACCCTGAAAAAAGAAATTGAAGAGGATCTCAGAAAATGAAAAGACATCCCTTGTTCATGGATAGGAATAATAAATATTGTGAAAATGGCCATTCTCCCAAAACTGTTATACAGATTCAATGCAATCCCAATGAAAATACCATCAATATACCTCATAGATCTGGAGAAATCACTCCTAAAATTTATCTGGTACCAGAAGAGACCTAGAATAGCAAAGGCAATTCTAAGCAGCAAAGGCAAGTCAAGAGGCATCACAATCCCTGACTTGAAGTCATATGACAAAGCTACTGTAATAAAATCAGCATGATACTGG